GGCCGCGGCGGGTCCTGCGAGGAGGGATGACAGGGCAGAGCTGGCATGATGATGTTGGTGACCTTGCTGCCCGTGTCGCAACCGGCGAGGCGTGCGTCTTCGCGGCGGCGACCCACGAGACAGAGACCAACGACCAGCCACGTTTCGGATTTTTGGGATATATGGTTACGCACGCAGTTGCGAAGATTGGTTGGTCTTTCGGGTCAGTTTATTTGTGGTCCAGCATGTTCGTTGGCCTCGGGAGCACAAGCCATCCCTTCGCCTTCCTTCGAGAAAATTATTGGTTGAGCAATGTCTCATTTGGCGCGGGCCTTACTCTTGGCATCGCCTTGTACCTGCTCGATTTTTTCATGCCGCCGCACCTTCCTGGGCAAAATGGAGTCCTCTGGAACGAGGGCCGCGTTGTCGGCCGTTCTCTGCTGGTGCTACTTGCGTTTCTCTTTGTATCCGGGTGCCTGTTCATGGCGGCATTATACCCACATTTACCCATGCTGGTTTTTATCGTTATGGGCATGGGAGTTCATGTGAGCATACGTTGGCTTACGATGCCAAACATGAGGGGTCGCGCTTCTGGGCGAGTCCAAGATCTGCGCGTCGAGTCTCAGTGGAACTCGCTGCAGAGGCTCATCCGGAAATCTGATGACACGCTCAAGTTTTACAAGGCCTTCGCGATCGCATGCATGCTGAGCTCCGCCGCCGTCACAGCTGCTTGGACCATTCAGCTGCTCAGGGGACGGCTCTGCTTCTCGGACTGCGGCGCCCAACTCACGGTCATCGGCGACAGCTGCCCCGAGGAGTCCGACGGCCTCGAATCTGGCCCCACCGTGTTCCTGGCCATGAGCCCCCTGTTTGTCGCGTTCGCGGACCTGGTCTTCGGCCTCTTCGCGCTGATTCGGGTAGTGCTGAACAGCACCTACCTTTCGACGTCGAGGTACCGCAATCAGCTTGCGTCCGCCCTCCGCGCGGACCCAGAGGCTCTGCAGAGGAGTGGGAAGGTGCTGGTGCCAGCGGAGGTGAGATCTCAACTCGGGCCCACTGGCGGAGGGCTTGGTGTGAACGACGACGGCCGTGATTGTACCGTTGAGGTCGCCGACGAGTTCCAGAGATTGGAGCACAGGGGCTACCAGCAGCTCACGATGCTCGTGAAGTCTGTGGGGGTTACTTTCGTAGTGCTCATCGGCCTCGGCTACGCTGGGGCACTGCTCGTCTGGGCGGACAACGAGATGGCGAGCATATTTGTCAGCCTCCTGATCGTCTTCTTCGCCAGTTTCGTCCTGATGACCGCCGCCTCTTTCTCCAGAATCGCGCACGTGCTCGGCGATGGGCTGGCTCATCTTCCCCTGTGGGGCAGAGTCTTGCCTCTGCTGAACAATGACTGGGTGCAGGCATTCCTCCTTTGCCTGTCGCTTCCACTGATATCTGCATTTGCCGCTCTCAGTGTCGCAAACCAGCAGGTGCGCCGTGTGCGGGGCATCTCTGGCTTCGTTCACCAAGGCGCAGTCGCGAGCCGGGTCTCAAGTACCACCGATCCGGCCGATCTGGCGACTCCTGCGGATGTCTCTGCCTGCAGGGCGTTCCTGAGTGATGTGTTCCAGCTGCTGCACCCTTCAGGTACGCAGATCGAGTCTCCCCTTCGACCCTGGCTGACTGCAAGAGTCCATGGGGCCTGGCTGAAAGTCAGAGGCTTCCGGTGGTTGTCCATATACACGAAAGTGTACGTTTGGTGTTTGGTGCCGTTTGCTTACTATGTCGGCTCCTTGCTCTTCAGTGCAGGATTCGCTTTCCTGAGGCATGTCTTGACTCCGATTTCTTTCGGCCTGATCATCGTTCTGACGTTCGTCGTTGGCGTGTGCGCCTTTCTCTGGCCCACGGTTCCAGGCATGGTCGTCTACATGTTCGGGGGGCTTCTGATCCCAGACACGTGCACTGTACCGTCCAGTGGAGGCGATGAAGCTCGATTTTGGGCGGGAGTGTGCATCAACATAGTTTTGTGCTTCTTTCTCAAGCTCTCGGCTTGCGCGGTTCAACAGAAGGTCATCGGCTCACGCTTGGGCCAAAATGTCAGAGTCAGGCAAATTTGCGGCGTGCACACCCCAGAAATGCGAACAGTCGAGTCAGTGCTCAGAAAGCCAGGTCTTTCCATCGGGAAGGTCGCGATCTTGTGCGGAGGGCCCGATTGGCCGGTGTCGGTACTCTGCGGGATTTTAGACCTCTCTCTCCTGCAGTGCGAACTTGGAACAACGCCGATTCTAATTTACATCATACCTTGTTCCCTCTGTGGATCTATGTACCTGCGGGCTAGTGATGGCGCCGAGTGGGAGGCAGCGGCCAGCGCGATGGTCTTCGCGACGACCTTCATGACAGGGCTTCTATTGGTGGTTATGGCCTGGGCGGTGCAGAAGGAGTGGGAGCAAAAGGGCGAGGATCTCGGGAGGCCGTTGCGCCAGCATGCAGATCTGTGGTTCCTGGACCACAAGGCGGACACCCTGCGGCAGAGGTGCACTGTGACCTGGAACGAGCTGCCCCGCACCCTGCGCAACTGTTTCGCCCTGGGAGCCCTCGCTCAGATCTTGGTGAGCCATTGCTTCTTCTGGGCGTACTACCACCTGTTCGGTGACTTTACCGTCAGTCAGCCTTGGGGCACCATCCAGTGGTATGCTGGCACGATCGACCAGTGCGGTTGCTACACACCTAGCGGTACAGCCGATCGCAGCCATTGCGTCTTTGCGTCGGCCGGCATCGCTCTGACACTCTCTTACGCTGCCGCCTGGTTGCCGTACAAGGCCCTGTACCGGCACTGGGGGCGGCGGAACGCCAAGTTCAAGGAGGTGATCGACCAGGAGTTCGACGAGGAGTACCAGAGGCGGTGGACCGACGCCTTCTTCAGCTAGAAGAAGGAACGCCGCACCAACGCTCACCTCAGGAGGTATGCGCGGATCTCTTGGATCTGCACCGGACCCCCCTCCCTGGCGCGCGGAGCGCGCCAGGTGGCGGCCCCGGAGGCGCCGGCCATGGGGGGCCCAGCGTGGATCCCGGAGAGCGCCGCGGGGGGCTCCGAGGGCTTAGCGTTCGTGCCGCCCTTTCCTCCTTCGGGAGCGGCGCCTGGCGCGCGGGGCCGGGCGCGGAGGCGCCCGCGGCCGCCGCGGAGCTGAAGGCGCGGGCGGTGCGGCAGCTGCGCGGCGCCGCGAAGGCCGGCACGCTGCGCCCCGCGGTGCGCGAGGCGCTCCGGGCGAGGCCCGCGGCCGAGGCCGCCCGCGCGCCGCCCGGCGAGGGTCCCCTGCGCACGCCGCGGCGCGCGAGAGGCCCCGAGAGGCACCTGCAGGAGCCGCTGGAGACCCGAGCCCCGGGTGCCCCAGACTCGAGGAACAAGAGGCGGCATTGGGGGAAGGAAGAATGACATGAGCATAAGAACTCGGAGGTCCGCGCGGATTTCTCGGATCAGCGCTGGGGCCCCCTGGCGGCGCCTCCGGCGCCGCTCCTGGCGCGCTCCGCGCGCCAGGGAGGGGGGTCCGGCGCCGATCCGAGAAATCCGCGCGGACCTCCGAGTTTTTATGTTTATGTTATTCTTCGTTCCCGTAGGCATGAACATGCAGTCAACGTGCCCAGTAAGGACGCGTGCCTTCATCTGGGGTGCCCTTGTGTCCTTACCTCTGCCCCCCGCCCTCTGCCGTTTTCACCGGTCGCCCGGCGCTCCAAACAAAAATCCCAACTTCGGCCTCCAGGCGTCTTTCAGGAGGGAAAAAACACACAGACACAAGTATTCGTCGATGTACCAGAAAATATAGGAAAATATGGGAAATGGGGGGGACGACAGGAACCCAGAAGATATGGGAAGCTATGGGGAATCTGGACACTCGTGTCCATTCAATTGTGTGTCCCGGGGCCCCTTCAGTCTTGAGTCCTTACCTCCCATCCTTGGCACACGTTCTGATTGTCCACCTTTCGAGCTCCGCGCGGATCTCTCGGATCGGCGCTGGGCCCCCGCCCCCCTCCGCGCGGCGCCTCTGGCGCCGCCACTGGCGCGCGGAGAGCGCGCCAGGCTTAAGTCGGGCCTGTCCCTCTACAGGGGGAATACTCCAAAATAGTTGAAAATTGTTCCGGGGACGATTTTGTTACTCTGTCTGAGCATTTGGGGGATTTTTGTTTCTGTATAATTTTGCATTCTTCGCCCCAAATCCCCCTGTATGGGGGACAGGCCCGACCTAAGGCTAGTGGGGTCCAGCGCCGACGCGGGGAGCCCGCGGGGACCTCCGAAGCAGCCTGTGGCTCTGCTGCGTCTCGTTCCTCTGCCAGAGCCGGCGGTGGTGGCGGCCATGCGGTGCCTGGAGCAGGCGGTGGAGCGGATGGAGACGCGGGCCCCGGACCCGGAAGTCGGTATCGTTTAACCGATCCCCATCCCCATCCCCATCCCCATCCTCTTCGAGACCCCCGCCAGCTTACCACCGCAGTTGGGGATGCACCCCTCGAAGCCCGAAGGGAACGACCTATATCCCCATCTGGGGGGGTAAATCGGCCAGGGGGGCCCAGGCCGCGCCGCTGGGGATGGGCATCGGTTAAACGATACTCAGGAAGTGGAGTCGGTGAGGTCTCTGGAGGCGCGCCCCCGAGGCGCCCTGGACCCGGAGGCGGAGGGAACGAGGTCCCTGGAGCGGCTGGGGGGGCGGCTGGGCAGGCGGGCCCCGCCGGCGGCGCTGCCGCCGCTGCTGCGCTGGGGCAGCACCGCCCGCGAGCCTCGCTTCGTGGAGTCGGGGGAAGCTCCGTGCCGCAGCCAGGCAGCGCGCGGCGCCGGCAGCGACAGCCTCGGCGGCCCCGCGCCTCCATCGCAGGCCGCGGGGCCCTGCCTGGCGAGCGTGCCGACCCCAGGGGCCCGTGCCGCTCCTGGCGGGCCACCAGAGCCCGCGAGCACTAGCGGGGAGCGCGCCCGCCGGGTCGTGCCGCTGCGGGAGGAGCCTCAGCAGCAGGCGCGGGAGCGCCCCGTTTCCAGGCTGACGCTCTCCTGACCGCAGCTGGGCGGCCCCCGAGCTTGCCTCGCTGCGCTCGCCGCGAGGGGCGCACGGTCGCTGCCGCCCTTTTTCTTTGTTTCTCTCTCTCTCTCTCGCTCTGTCGCTTCCCTCCGAGAGGGGCGACAGGGCGAGGAGGTCGAGCACCAGAGCTGCGGGCGAGGACGGGGAGGCGGGCGAGAGGGAGGGCGAGAGGGCGAGAGGAGGGCGACGGGGAGGACGAGGACGAGGACGAGGCGCCTGGGGAGTGGTGCCCAGTCCGAGCCCGGGCCCAGGGGCTCTCCGGGCCTCCCCGCGGGGATGCGGGGCACCACCCGGGACGAGGGGACAGCGGGGGCGTGCCCCGGCCTGCCGCTGCGGGCGAGGCCCCCCCCCCCGAGAGGGCGCGAAGGCAGGGCGGACGGGAGGGGGGCGGGAGGGAGGGGCTCAGGGGCCTGTCTTCCACCACCACTGCCATACGTTGGAGGGGGAGGGACGCCTCCTTCTCCTCCTCCTCCTCCTCCTCCTCCACCTCCTCCTCCTCCTCATCATCATCATCATTCTCCTCCTCCTCCTCCTCCTTCTCCTCCTCCTCCTCCTCCTCCTCGTCCTCCTCCTCCTCCTCGTTCTCTTTGTCCTCCTCCTCCTCCTCCTCCTCATCCTCGTCCTCCTCGTCCTCGTCCTCCTCCTTCCCCCCTCCAACTCATGGTGGTGGTGGTGGTTTATGGAAGACAGGCCCATCAAAGGGGCGGCGGCGGCTCCGACGGCGGCGGCGGCGGAGGGAGTGGCGGGTCTTCTGGGGATCCCTCGGGGGCCTTTGGGGGCCTCCTGTCGGGGGAGCGTAAGACCTGGGTTTGCCAGGACTCGGGTTCGCCATCGTTTTTTGACGACCGCGCCTCGGATATTGACGAGGAGGAGTTTCGTGGGACGTCTGCAGCGGGAGGCCTCGTCAAAATGCAGGCTCGGCCTCGTCATTTTTTTGACGACCTCGTCGGGGATTTCCGAGTCCCCTGTACCCAGGTCTTACGTCGCCCTGATCCTGGGGCATCTTGGGGGGCGTCGTGGGGGGCTTCTTGGGGGCCTCCTGGGAGCCTCGCAGGCCGAGGGCTCGAGATGTCCGTTCGGTCCCCCCCAGCTGGGCTCCCTCCTGAAGCCGTCTTGGGGGCCTTTCGGGCCGTCTTGGAGGCCTTGGGGGGCCCTCTTGGAGGCCTCTTGGGCGATCTTGGGGACCTCTTGGGTTGTCTTGGAGCGACGGGAAGCCGACAAGGCGAGAACGCCAAAATTGTGAATAAACTCAAGGAGAATATATGATTATTGCTCCTTGGGGTCTTGGTAGTGCTCTTGGAGACCTCTCGGGGCGTTCTGAAAACCTCTTGAGCCATCTGGAGGCTATTCTGGCGTCTGGGACCGATAGTTCGGCGATTCGGGGCCCTCGATTACGCGACCGCCGCGTCTTCGGGCTTTTCTGGGCCCCAGAACCGCCCGGGGGGATGCGTATCTTGGGTGGCGACCCACCCTTGGGACCCATCCCCCGGGACCCCCTCCCTGGGACCCCCCCCCGCGGGGAAGGGATCAAAGGGAAGGGGCCTCCTTTCGACTTGGCTCAATGTCACTTTGGCTAGCGCGCTTAAGGAGGAGGGCCCAGGGAAAGGAGACGGGGGACGACGGAGACGACGATTGACGGAGACAACGAGGAGACGACGGAGACGGAGACGACGACGGACACGACGAGGAGACGACGGAGACGACACGACGACGGCGGCGACCAACGGACGAGCGTCTTCCACACTCCGACAGGGTTGGCGGATGACGGGAAGTGCCTCCGGCGTGCACCGTTGGTTCTGGGGCTTCTTAATTTTCTCTAACACAGGTGTACCGGGTCCATCCGGGACCTCGTTGCCGGACGACGGGTTCGGGCCCAAGACGGCCCACGCCCAAGACGGCCCAAGAGGGCCCCAAGACGGCCCCAAGAAGGGCCCAAGAGGGGGACCACGAACCGACAATTCAAGCCTTCCGCCCCAAGAGGCCCCCCGGAGGCCCCCAGGGGCCCAAAAGAGGTCTCCAAGGGGCCCCAAGTTGGCCCCCGAGAGGCCCAAAAGAGGCCCCAAGAGGCTCGAACATGGCCCCCACGAGGCCTGTGTTATTTCAGGGGGGGGCATCGAAATAATGCCGCCGTTCTTGTGGGTTCGTTCAGGGGCCTCTTGGGCCGTCTTCGAGCGCTCTTGGACCGTCTTGGTCGGAGGTGGATAGGCCTCCTACCCTGACACGTCGATTGAGAAACTGGCCGTTCTCGGTTCGCGAGCGGGCGCCGCGGCCGTCATTTTTGCGGGTCCAGGTCCGTCGGTTTCGGTCCTGGGCCGTTTTCGCTAGGGGGAGGTTTAATGGAGGATGACGATTAATAAATGACCGGGGGTCGTGTTCACGCGGCGGCGCCCGGGATGACGATTAGAAAAAACCGGCCGCGGGCTGGAACACTATTCTTTTTCATCGTTCTCCTCCCGTCAGAAAACCATGCAGAAATAGCAAGGAACTATTGTTTTAATCGTTCCCCTCATTTTTTTAATTAATCGTCATCCCGCAGTACCAAAGGGAGGTCTGTCCACCGCCGCCTCGGGGCTCCCTCGGGCAGCGGCGGCCCACGCGCGAGGACGACGACGAACGACGCCGACGTGGCGCGCGCGCGCGTTCGCGCACCCGCCAGCTGCGGCAGCCGCGCCCGCACGGTGGCCGCTGATCCTCATCCTCCTCGTCCTCCTCCTCCTCCTCCTCCTCCTCCTCCTCTGACCCCCCGTGCAACAGGGAAGGCCACTGACGCGCGCCCCTGACATGTGCGCTGGTCTTAGGTCGGGCCTGTCCCCCGTACAGGGGGAGTTTCGACGAAAAGTAAAAGATACCCCAAAACTATGCAAAACATAATCCCAAAATAGTCTGGGGACTATTGTTTGAGTACGGTTTGACCTTTTTGGTGTATGTGTTGGGTATATTTTATTTGTCGTCAAAAATCCTTCTGTAGGGGGAGAGGCCCGACTTAATGCTAGTATGAACACCGCGAAGCCCCATTTGGATGGAGGATCTCTTGTGGTGACAGGTTCTTCGAGGACTCACGATGCCGTCTTGGCACCGTCTTGGGCCTCTCTGCGCTCCTGATGCGTCTCGACGCCCTCTCGGGCCCCCTCTTGGGGCTCTCGTGAGCCATCTTCGGGTCATCGCGAGGCCTCAAAAGCCCATCGGAAGCGAAACATCGAGGAGGCAGACAACATAGATTTCCTTTAGCGTTGCACAGGATTGTGTCCTCTTGACAAACCTGGGAAACTCGGAGAGCACTTGTAGCCGTCTTGGGGGCCGTCTTCGTGCCTCTTGGATGCGCGTCGGAGGTTAGATGCGACCATCTTGACGGACCTTGAACCATATTGGAGACCATCTTGGCTTATACAGGGCCCTCTTGGAGCCATCTTGGACGAAAACGGACGCTCTGACACCTCGCGAGCCCCCCCGTCCAGACCCAGGGAGGGGGGGGGCGGAGGTAAACCTCCCAAGCAAGAGGAATTAGGATATTGGCGAAACACACGCCCTAAACCACCTGCGCCCTACAGAACTTGTGGCATTTGTTTGACAACCCTTCTGATCATGAGCGTTTGTTTTGATGTGATCCTGCGGCTTCCACGCTCAGACCGTTCGGAATATTAGCTTAGCCTGCCTGCTCTCACGCTAAATGATCTCGACTGTGCCCGCCTTAGACGCGGCAACCTTTTCTGAACCGCAGCAGGCAAACACGCAGGTACGTCACATACATTGGGGAGAACAGAGGGCGGCGGCGTCGTCCGCAAACGTCCGTTGCCTCCCATGTCGTCGTCGTCGTCGTCGTCGTCATCGCCGTCGTCGTCGTCGTCATCGTAATCGTCGTCGTTGTCGTCTTCGTGGTCCTCATCGTCATCATCCTCGTCCTCCTCATGCTGCACGTTCTCCTTCTTCTGACCATTTCTTATGTCTGGCGCTCGTCTTCTCAACTCTCTTACTCCACGTCATTATCTTGATATCCACCTCATGATTACCCTTCTCTTTTCCATTGTGCTCGACGTCCTGCACGTTGTCCTCAACATGCGCCCAACGAGCTCCGCAACCAAAAAACTGCGCTTCCCGTTCTTGTTTGGAAAGGTTTCCAAAAACACCGTTTCGCTGGAGACGTCTTCAACAAATCGGCCCTGGATGGGGATTCCGAATCGACGTCGTCCGAACGGCCCAAGGGTCGCCCAAACGACGCCCCGAAGGGCCCCGTAGAGTGCCCAAGACCGCCCCAAGAGGGCCCCAAGAGACCCCCAAGAGCGCTCCAGGAGGCACCGGGACAGCTCAGGAGAGCTCCAAGACGGCCCACGACGGGCCAAAATAGCCCCCAGAGATCCCCGAGAGCGGCCCAAGAAAGTCCCAAGACGGCCCCAGATGGCGCCGCAACGGCGCAAGAAAGCTCACCCAAAACCCCACGACGCGCCCAGGCAGCCCAAGAAAGCCCCAGAAGCCCACAAGAGGACCCAAGAGGCCCCGAAGAAACCCCCAACAGGCCCCAAGACAACCCCGCGCGGCGCCAGGAACCCCCAGGGTAGCCCGATGGGGTCACCAGGACCCTCTCCTGATTCAACTTCCTTCTCCAATTGCCTCGTACTGTCCTCCGTCGTCGTCGTCGTCGTCGTCGCCGTCGTCGTCGTCGTCGTCGTCGTCCTCAGCATTCCTCCTGGTGCTCGCCTTCGTTTTCTTCGTCCTCGTCATTGTGTTTCTCTTCCTCCTCGTTGTCCGCATGCTCCTCCTCGCTATCCTGACGTTCTCCACGTCGTCCTCGTCATCGCCTCCTCGTCGCCCTCGCCTTCCTTTTCTTTCTTCTTCGCCCATACGTTCATTGGACGAAAACGGCGCTTCCAGTTCTTGTCCTACCAGGTTTATGTTGCTTCGCTGTCTCTCATCTTCCGCAGTGCGGGATGCCGATTCCCCGTGTCACATCGAATCGAAATCGTCTTTCCGCCACGCTCCTC